TACTATTTAAGTGCTAAATACAATTCATAGATGGCATGATCCTGAACCACACGTTAAAGCTTGTAACTAAAAAAACTCAAAGAATCATTTGAGTTTTTTTTCGTTGCTTTATTATGTCTGCTCATTGTAACATTCATAGGCAAAAGCATAAAAAAATACGGCACTTAATAAAACAATATAAATTTTTCAATTGACCTTCCGATTACTCGATGCTTCGTAAATTCTAACATTATTGCAATTTTACGACTTGTGTATGTGTATAAGGTATTGCCTTGCGAAGCTTGCTGAGTTCGACGATTCAAATATTTTTTTTGTTAATCCAAAGGTCAAATCCTAGCTTGCTATTATAACCTTTATAGTAAAGACCCTCCCTATCGTCAAAGGAGGGTGTGTCTACAGATATCGTGAAACCACAAAGCTCAGCCAAATATTAACCTGTAACTTAATCCTCTACGATACGTCCAATTAACTCTGCAGTCAGTACCTAACTAAGAGAGCGCTCACACAATTGACCAGCGAATACCGATAGCATTCGATACTCGACTTCCGAGATACGACAGTTATAAGGCCCACTCATCCATGACTATCGTATCGACATGGGAACAGCTCTCAATGAACATTCATCACGAGTCGAAACGTAACTTTATCTATTTTAAACCTGCTCCATTGCACAGACAGTCTTCGACGGAATGCGACAAAAGATTATAAAGCTGCAAGTTTTTACATTTTACTAAAAGGGTTTAGAGTTTCTGTAATGAGCGGAATAACCTTGGAACTTTACCTATTGACAGAGAAATACAAAACCATCAAAAAGTAGAGTAATTTCTCCGTGATCTTCTGTAAGGGGGAAGTTACTTCCCTGGAAGAGCAAAACAATTACAGTGGAAATTCCTCTATGCCCTACATCTATATCTCTCTTTTTTCTCTCTCTCCTCTCTCTTTTAAGTAAGTAACGGGTTATTAGGTTTTTTGCGAAAGATAAAGAATTTGAAACACGTGATTTCCAGTTTTCGCATATAGCCCACGTAAACATAAACTATTAGTTCCTTTCTATTGCGTTTCGCGGGACTACAACAGAAGTAGGTCAAACATTGCATAGTATTGCGGCGTAGCCACTGGAGCATGAAACATCGTGCACTTCCACGATTGATCGTCAAACTCACGCTCTATTTGATAACATCATTTAACTTTTCAGTCAACATTTGTACAGTGTCTATCCGATACGGGTTCACGTTAGTGAACCCTGCATTCATTACGACTTACTAGTAAAGTCGCTAGAACTACGCCAAATAGAAGAGGGATTAAGACGTCAAGAAGAAGAAATGCGTCAAGAAAACTCCCGGTATTTTCAAGCCCTTCGACCGTTTTCGAAACCAGTTTCGAGAAAAGAATTATTATTCCTTTTTTTGAAACTGGCTTGGAAAACATTGGCCAGCGAGTTTCTTTGTTTTGTATTAACCGAACTAATTTAAAATAAGATCTTACACCTCAAGTGAGGCTATATTTACCGAGACGGTATTACGCGCGGACCCGTTATCTATAGAATTGTTGATGGAAGATTTTACGCATTAATGTTCATAGAGATTTAGCAGCAAATAAAAATCGAAGAAAGCTTGTATTTTTTTAGCAAAAATTCATTTTAAAAATCGTAACTCGAAAACTATGAAAAATCGTAGAACAGAAATAGGGGTGATTCGGATACCTCATCAAGAGACACCCAAAAAACTTTTGGACGTCACTTTTCTAGCCACTCTGTACATGTCCAATTAAACTTAATAACTACTCAAAGTTGCGTTCAATGACTTATATAGTTGTCCCCTGTCCAATTATCCGGCTTTAAAACCAAATGGCCGTTATAGGCTGTGATGATTGTTTTCATTTTGACTAACAATATACTCTTTGCTACTCTTTAAAAATAAAAATGTGCCCCGTGGTGTTACCCGAAGTTTATTAGGGATATTTTCCCGCAGTAAAACGTAGCGAGCTATGAGTTAATCCAGGGTGTCAGCTAACTCCATAAGGACATCGACGAAATCGGCCCTAGCATGCCCAAAAGAATGTCCTTCACTATTATTTTTCTATTATTTTTTTAACTTATTAGCAATTAATCACAGTAAACGGACAATCTGTTTAAAAAATAAAGTTCTGTTACTAGATACTACAGTCTGTTCATCCAACTTATCCTATTAGAAAATACAGCATTAAAAATCAACTGATAACTGGATTCAATAGGTTTCAGTCGATAATAACGATTTATTTTTATACTTTATTGGCTTCGTTAATATTTTATTATTAAATGGGTGATTTTGTTAAAAAGTTGTGCCAAGATTGTTTACCTTAATAAATGCAATATAGACAACCATAGGTATTTATCAACATAAAATTAGAACTAGGTACCTTAGTTAATCCTTACTTTATAATAATTATTACTAGTATTTGTATTATATTTATAAAAAGATAATTTCTGAAATTATGTAAAGATAGTTTATACTCCCATCCCATGTTATATCTGTTTATTTTTATGAAAATCATAATGATAACCAGGTACATACCTAATTACCGATAGTAAAGTATAGAAACAGGTAAATGGAAAGACTTTGATCATTTCATTTGAAAAGAAATCTATTAGGTATTACTACAGGTAAACTCATAAATCAATATGAATATAAGCATTTATTATTTTTATTATTAATTGCATTTTATATTCATTTAATGCATATTGTTTAAGTGCTTACATAGAGGTAAACATTAAATCTATTCAGAATATATAAAGTGTACATCTTTTACGATTAAGTATTTATTATTTTTATTATTAATTGCATTTTATGTTCATTTAATGCATATTGTTTAAGTACTTACATAGAGGTAAACATTAAATCTATTCATAATATATAAAGTGTACATCTTTTACGATTAAATATAATAATTATAACCTCAAAATCTAATACATTCTGTAGTAGGCCACGGTTCCTCAAGTTGTCCGTATCTCAACAAATGCCTAATTAGAGTTTATGAATGATTCCGAACACAACTAGCATTTTCTCATTGCTGTGCGTTCTAGGGCATTCAATGTATGGGGAACGAGCAATGTTCTTTTATTAAAATCGCTCCAACCGTTTAGACGTGAAGAAGTAACAAACATACACACTCACAAACTTTCGCTTTTATAATATTAGTGTGATAAAATAAATTTGAATAACTAAAGGCATTTTATTCGTAATCATTGCCACATTTTCGATTGAAAGCAACATCGATACAAGCACTACTAATAGTGAATCCCGATTCTATCCTAATTTGAAACACAAATTGCGTAGGTCATGGCTCTTTAGATCTAAAACTCATTACGAAGTGAAAATGGAAAGCTACCAGGAGCGCCAATCAATGGAATAGTTAGAGACACCTGTTGGAAACACTCTAATCCTGATGTTGGTATTATCAGTTCGCTTTTAGTAGGTATAGATTTGATTGTGTTTAGTACCTTTTGCGCATTACGTAATCGGATACCGGATGAATCAATGGTTTAATCCGTTATAAGCTGCCATTCAAAGCCATAACCAACAAACAAAATTTGTTTTGGCTCCCTACGAACTCTTTACATACAAACTTTGGCGTTTTCATGAAACATTCTGCTAAAATTATAAAATGTAATAATACAATTTAGACTTGGGTTGTATATTTTTAAATGGCAAAGGTAAGGCTAACACACATCAAATGTTGGACCATAGTCTTTATATGCTTAGGACACCTGGAGTTTCAGCTGCCCTTTTTCTAATCTTCCACCTAAAATCTCTGGTAAATACATACAACAAAAACAGAACAACATAATAATAATTTGCGACAACTCCAATATGATCGGTACCTTCTCCGTACCCTAACTCCCTTCGTCGTGATTCGATTTCTTTGATATATTAACGAACCCGAAATTGTTTATTGAATATCCTTTCATAATAACGATCTATTTAGTTTAAATTCGTAAATTAATTACGAAATAATCACTGATTTAATACCTTGGTAAGAGCAAAGATAAAGTCAATATTAATGTATATACGTTTTACAGTTTCCAATTTACACTATGAACGAAGTTGTATATCATTGATTTGGTATCGTTTGCTATTCGTTAGTAATTAAAGCACTGGCCTATACAAGAATATATTATGATTTTCTTCACAATTCATTAGTATTTGTTGTATGAACCAATCATATATTTTATTCCATGATAATAGTGATTGTGAACAACTTTAATGTTTTTGTGATAATAAATTTCTTTGAATTTTCTCCTCTATAAATAAGAGATTTTTGGTATTCACATATACTTGCAGTGTAACAGCAATGACAAATATAGAGTAAATAAAACAAAATCAAAGTAAATTTAATTTACAAATAGAAATTAAATTACTTAATAATGTAAACTAACTAAAACTATAACTTCACCTTCACTTAACATCAGGTGTGGTGGAATCATTTGACGGATCTATCTATAAAAAATAAACAGAAGCATTACAAATTTAAAATGTTCGTCGAATAATTTACGCGTATCCAAGCATTTATGAAAGCGACGAATAGTTATTATATGAATCATAATAAAATTAATAATAAATCCAATAGCCGTAATTCCTAAAATCGTCAACTTGACGGAGGTTAGTTTGTGATGTTTGGACAAAGGTGGGCTTGCTCACCAAAACGATTGGTTCGTTAGCAACTTTTACCTTTCACTTCAAATATTATAGAACATCTGACAGTATTTTGAGCAAATTTTGTGTAACAATTTTCATGGTTTGGAAGTAACAATGAGAAAAGAAACATACTTTGCAAGGGTTCCTTATGCTTCACGAAGCCTTTGCTCCTATTTTAAGATAAAGTTTAAAGTACCCACTTTTAGTTTTTGCATCTGTAGTAAATTAAAGGTTTTGCAGCTGCAAATTCCCCAGTTATTACAAATATTAAAAGTAACTAATATTTAAAAATCAAACATTATATAATTGTTTCTTTTATTGTTTCAGGGTGGGAGTTAAAAGGACTACATTGTTATAAATTCTTCAACATTAGGCATTCATGGGAAAAAGCAGCAGAATTATGTCGAAGGTAATTGTTTCACGGAAATAATTGTTTTTGTTCATTTAATAAGCTCTGAAACTTAATTCTTTTTAAAACACAATTACAGATATGGAAGCGAGCTCATGGTAGTAGATTCATACACGGAAAACAATATGACTGCAAGTATGGTCCCAGTTAGTCCTAGTAATAATAACTATTGGCTTGGACTCGCCACTGTGGATGATCTAAGGACAAATACACTCGAGTCGGCAGCTGGTGCGCTAGTTTCACAATACGCCGGATTTTGGGATCTCCGACAACCCAATCCCAAAGATGGTGAATGTGTAGACGTCCACATTTCATCTGATATTCAATCATGGGAACTTACGACCTGTGAAACTCTTCTACCGTTTATGTGCAAAGCTAACGCCTGTCCATCTGGTAAGCAACCATTAACCGAAACCAATTTGTTAACTTGATAAAAAGGAAGTAAAAATCAATGTTCAGGTAACTTATGGTAACAATGAATTGAATTAACTTTTATTTATAGGAACCTTCCATTGTTCAAACGGAAGATGCATAAACGCAGCCTTCAAATGCGACAAGCAAGATGATTGTGGTGATGCTTCTGACGAAATGGACTGTGCTTCCGAATGTCACTTCTACATGGCCAGTAGTGGGGATATCGTAGAAAGCCCGAACTATCCTCATAAATACCCACCATTCAGCGAATGCAAATGGACTCTCGAAGGCCCTCAAGGCCAAAATATCGTTCTACAGTTCCAAGATTTTGAAACTGAAAAGTCTTTTGACACTGTTCAAATTTTAGTTGGAGGCAGATCTGAAGATAAGTCTGTCAACCTTGCAACTTTATCAGGAAAACAAGACCTTTCTAATAAACTATTTGTATCCGCTTCAAACTTCATGATAATTAAATTCAGTACGGATGGTTCAGTTGAGAGGAAAGGTTTCCGCGCTTCTTGGAAAACTGAATCTTCAAACTGTGGTGGCATTCTTAGGGCCACGCCTCAAGGTCAAGTTCTGACTTCACCCGGATACCCAACTGGCTATCCAGGTGGTCTAGAATGTATGTATATAATTGAAGCGCAAGCAGGAAGAATAATATCTCTAGAAATCGAAGACCTTGATTTAGGAATGAATAGAGACTATATTGTAATAAAGGATGGAAATTCTCCGTCTAGTCCTGTACTCGCACGTTTAACGGGTCCGGGAGAAGAAAACCAAAAAGTTGTTATATCTACTACAAATCATTTGTATATGTATTTCCGCACTAGTTTAGGTGATTCCAAGAAAGGTTTCAATATGAGATACTCACAAGGGTGCAAAGCTACCGTTATTGCTTCAAACGGAACGTTCACATCACCTGCATATAGTTTGAGCAATTATCCCAATAATCAAGAGTGTCTGTACAGAATCAAAAATCCAAATGGAGGTCCACTATCACTGAAATTCGACGAGTTCAACATCCATCCATCTGATGTAGTTCAAGTTTTCGATGGATCAAGTACAAATGGTTTGAGATTACATTCAGAAAATGGTTTTACAGTGAAGCCAAGAATTACTCTCACAGCATCAAGCGGAGAAATGCTGATTCGATTCATGTCTGATGCATTACACAATGGTCAAGGCTGGAAAGCGACGTTTTCAGCGGGTAAAAATATTACCTTGTATCATTTTTTTATTTATACTTTACAGGTGTATTTTTAATTCATATTTATTTTACAGATTGTCCCCTTCTTAAGTCGGGCATAGGAGCTCTAGCGTCGAATAGAGATACCTCATTTGGTACAGTTATTACATTTACATGCCCTATTGGGCAAGAATTTGCCACAGGAAAGTCTAGAATCATAACACAGTGCTTAGATGGGGGAAAGTGGTCCACCACCTACGTACCTAGTTGTCAAGGTATATTTATTTAAGATAATCTCCTAAACATAATATTTCATAGTAATATTATTAGTATTCTTCTTAATCTATTTTTTTACTTGTAGAGGTGTATTGCGGTCCTGTTCCACAAATAGACAACGGTTTTTCAATTGGCTCGACTAACGTTACTTACCGAGGCGTAGCTACCTACCAATGTTACGCTGGATTTGCTTTCCCGACCGGACAACCGATTGAAAGAATTTCCTGTTTATCGGATGGCAGATGGGAAAGGACACCCACTTGTCTAGGTAATTATATTTAGTTTAATAATAGAATGAAAATATTCAAGGACAGTTAATTTAATTGTCTATAAATGATATATAGTCACTTTCTACAGAAATAACTATTTTTTTTTAAATCTGGCATTGTCGGGCATAAACCATTTTTTTTTTTTTTTTTTTAAATTTTAACTCTGTTTTTATTCATTCTTATTGCAGCTTCACAGTGCGTAGCCCTGCCAGATGTATCACATGCAAACGTTACCATTTTAAACGGAGGTGGACGTAGTTACGGTACTATTGTACGTTATGAGTGTGAACCCGGCTATGTGCGATCCGGACAGCCTGTTCTTTTGTGCATGAGTAATGGAACTTGGTCTGGCGATGTACCATCGTGCACGAAGGCTTTATGTCCCAAATTTCCGGAAATAAAAAATGGATTCATAGTAGATCAGACTAGAGTGTACATGTACGGAGACGAAGCAAGAGTTCAATGCTACAAAGGTAAAGGCACAATACGTGTTACTTAACATTTTCTCATACGGAACAGTTTAAAAATTCACTATGATTAAACCTTATATTTTTTAAACTAACTTTCTGTCATACCTATATATAGCTAAGTAGAATCAAAATGTTTAAAGGCTTATTATACTTTTAAATTCTTTTTACACGTAAACTCAAAATTAATTTGTTTTTTTTTTATATTTTCGCAATCCTACTTACACCTTTATAACGTTTAAATTTTGTAGGATTTAGACTAAGCGGACCAAGTATACTAAAATGTGGACCAAATCAAGAATTTGACGCGGCACCAACTTGCGATGATATTAACGAATGCTCTAGTAGTCAATGCGACGGTGTATCCACCGAATGTAAAAATACACAAGGAGGTTTCTTTTGCCCCTGTCGAACTGGTTTCACGGCCAGCTTGGACTGTAGGCCAGTTGGTGACTTGGGACTTATCAATGGCGCAATCCCCGATGAATCTATCACTACTTCAGCTCCTGAACCTGGATATTACAAAGGGGTATGTTAATACAAGATAAAAAAATACACTTTATGTTTATTTAATTTTCTCTGATTCATAATTTTCGAAACGTAATTTTCTATTGAAACCAATTAATAAGACTGCAAACACTTATTTATTACTAGATGGTCCGGTTAAACAATGGAGGAGGATGGTGTGGTAACAACTTAGAAGCTGGAGCTAATTGGATTCTCATAGATTTAAGAGCACCAACAATTATTAGAGGCTTCCGAACGATGAGCGTTATGAGGGCGGACGGCAATATTGCCTTCACTTCGGCAATCAGAATTCAATACACTAATGATTTGACCGATGTGTTCAAAGATTACACGAATCCCGATGGTACTGCTGTAGAGTTCCGCATTTTGGAGCCAACCCTTTCTGTTTTGAATTTACCAGTACCAATTGAAGCCCAATACGTGAAGTTTAAGATTCAAGATTATGTCGGTGCTCCTTGTCTCAAACTGGAAGTTATGGGATGTGCTCGCCTTGACTGCAATGACATAAATGAATGTGCAGAAAACAATGGGGGATGTGAACAGAAATGTCTGAATACGTAAGTTTGTTCGATTCTTTAATAAAATTATCCCCATTTAACCCTTTTGTAAAACAACATTTGACTTGTATTCATGGGTGTAAATTTTTATTTTTACAGTCCTGGAAACTTCTCTTGCGCGTGTAATCTGGGGTACGAACTTTATTCTTCGAATGGAACTGCTGGTTTTTCTATTGAGCTATCAGAAACGGGCGAAAGGGATGGTGATACATATCAAAGAAATAAATCTTGTGTACCCGTTATGTGCCCATCACTACTGGCTCCCGAAAATGGTAAACTGCTATCGACGAAGAAGGATTTCCATTTCGGTGATACAGTTCAATTCCAATGTGATTTTGGCTACGTTATGTCAGGATTTTCATCGCTATTGTGTACTTCAAGTGGTACATGGAATGGTACAGCACCTGAATGTCAATGTAAGTTAATTCCTTCGTAATCAGAAACTAAAATAATATAAAACAACACATATTTTATTAAGCTACTATAACATTGACTATTTTTTTAGATGCCCGCTGTGTTACTTTGTCAGATGACAAAAATGAAGGTTTAAAAGTAATACGAGATGATCCAGAAAGTGTATTAGTGCCATACAGGGATAATGTCACGATCACCTGTACTTCACCTGGTAGGCACTTAAGAAATACCTTGACGTCATCTTTCAGACAATGTGTTTATGATCCTAAACCTGTAAGTATATCACACCATACATAATTTAGTGACACTAACTGGCAGTGATGCAAACCTTAATGTTTGAAATAGTTAAAGTACTAACATATATCTCAAATCTTTATTTTAACGTCTCTGTCTGGATAAAATAATTATAGGATGCCAACCTATCTCCAATACAATATTTTCCAAATATACCTTGGCCTACTTAATAGTCTTGAAGTTGGCAGCTAATGCATGGTAAATCTATTTACATAGCAGTCACGTTTGGTTTTACTGAATTGATGCAACCTTTAAGTTATTATATATATCGATTATTTTTAGGGTCTTCCTGATTATTGGTTATCTGGAGCTCAACCGCAATGTCCTAGAAAAGATTGTGGTATACCAATGCCAACACCAGGCTTTGTATACAGTCCTCTTGTTGATACAAAATATCAGAGCTCGTTCTTCTTTGGATGTCAAAATACCTTTAAAATGGCAGGACAGTCAAGTAAACATGACAATATTGTTCGGTGTCAAGCTAACGGTATTTGGGATTTTGGAGACTTGAGATGTGAAGGTCCAGTTTGCGAGGATCCGGGAAGACCTGCCGATGGCTACCAAATTGCAAGAAGCTACGAACATGGATCCGAAGTTCTATTTGGATGCTCTAGACCTGGTTACATTTTAATAAATCCAAGACCTATAACATGTATACGTGAACCAGAATGTAAAGTAATAAAGCCATTGGGATTAGCATCAGGACGAATTCCTGATTCAGCTATCAACGCTACCTCTGAAAGACCTAATTATGAAGCAAAAAATATTCGTCTAAATTCAGTCACCGGTTGGTGTGGCAAGCAAGAAGCATTCACTTATGTGAGTGTAGATCTAGGGAAAGTACATAGAGTGAAGGCAATTTTGGTCAAAGGAGTCGTTACTTCAGATATTGTCGGAAGACCAACGGAAATAAGATTGTTCTACAAAACAAATGAAACTGCGAATTACGTTATCTATTACCCTAATTTCAACTTGACAATGAGAGATCCAGGAAATTATGGAGAATTAGCCATGATAACGTTACCCAAATATGTCCAAGCTAGATTTGTAATCTTAGGAATTGTAAGCTTTATGGATAATGCCTGTCTCAAGTTTGAACTTATGGGTTGTGATGAGCCTACAGCCAATCCTCTGTTAGGTTATGATTATGGATATTCACCTTGTGTTGGTAAGTATTTATCATGATAATTATTATAATAGTCGTTACAAAGTCCATGGAAAGTTACTTTGAAGGAATACCAATTAAATAATAACATGATTATATTTTGAAATAAACTGCGAAAAACATAGCACCTATAGGATATTCTAAGTAGTCCATAATTTTAAATATTGCCGTGACTAATGAATGGCTAATATCTTGAACTCTATTTAAATTTAGTATGAGTCGCAATGAAAAGGCAAATAATAGATATTTCAGTCATCGTCTCTATTAAATGCAGATACCCGATTATCGCTTATTTTTCTTGACGAAGCCAAGATCAATGTCCTTATTAACGCTCGCGTGATGATATTTGTTTATGAAAAAAGTTCGTTCGAACTAGCAAGTCATCGCGTATTTGTATTTTATTAGAACTACATATTATGTTGATTCCAGGAATGTTAGTAAATACCTTTTAATTTATTAATAATTTAAAATAAATGAGCACTGGCCGCTGTTTTAATAATTACCTACCTACCTAATAAATATTCCCTAGTAATCAACATTAATATCAGGTCTAGTCCTATAGAATGTTTAATAAAAGACCGACCAGGCTCAAATAGTATCTGAACCAGATCTTGGTCTTATAATTAGTGTTTAAAAAATAAAGTGCATACATACTACTACATTAAATAATAAGTTCATACTGATTACTGTAAAGGTATAATAAAATAATATTCAATGATAGCGTTCTAACTCTAGCTTTACTAGGTAGAAGCTTATCAAAAATTGCAAATAAACATTATTCTGTTCTGTTGTGTCGATACACATTCACAGCAATATACGTTAACGCCGTGAAACCTCACCATAATGCGATATAGAGATTCAACAGCGCCATCTTCCGGACAGTTACACATCAATTACCACGTTAGATGAGCTGTTATTATATTTTATTCACACTCATGTCGAAATATTAAAATTACGAAATTAAAGATGGTTTTATAAAGACGTACTTAATAAACGCACATATAGGTACATCAAATTAAAACTTCAACTCATAATACTGCTAGCTGTATCGTTAAATAGCTTTTTAATCATTAAAGTACCATTACTTTAACAGTACATTTTTAATTTATGAAATTATATGAGGCTATGATATTAGGCAGAAGGTAAGCAAAAGAGGCGCACGCATTCGAAATTTGAAATTAATTTCTCGCGCTTCCCATACAATTTTCTGTCGATCGTGTTTTGTTTTCGGGATCTAGAAAAGTTTTACAAAACACTTTTTTGTTACCTTGTTTAATTTCAATTGTTCCTATGTATGAAGATAAAGCTGTGTACGCAACTGCATATAATTTAGGTATTAAAACACGAGAGTCGCATTCGGCTTCGCCTCATTTGAAACAGACTCTTGTGTTTTAATACCCCTTTATTATGACAGTCGCAGTATTATTTATAAGAGCAATCAGAAATAAACATGTATATTTTTCACAGATAACGAGCCACCTGTCTTCCAGAATTGCCCTCAACAACCAATCATTGTTCAAACTGACGTAAATGGTGGCCTATTACCAGTAAACTTCACAGAGCCAACTGCTACAGATAACTCTGGGGCCATCGCTCGTTTAGAAGTCACTCCTCAACATTTCAGAACACCAATACAAGTTTTTCACAATATGGTTGTCCGCTATGTGGCTTTCGACTTTGATGGCAATGTTGCAATATGTGAAGTCAACATTACTGTGCCAGATTATACCCCACCTAAACTAAGCTGTCCTCAAAGTTACGTAATAGAATTAGTGGATAAACAAGACAGCTATGCCGTGAATTTTAATGAAACTAGAAGACGAATAAACGCATCTGATGCCTCTGGAGAAGTTTTCTTGAGGTTTATTCCAGAAAGAGCGGTAATTCCCATTCGTGGATATGAAAACGTTACTGTCATAGCCTCCGACAAATATGGCAACAAAGCCCAATGTCACTTCCAAGTATGTATTTCGGTTTAGCTATTAGTTTTGAAAGTTTTCTATGTTGATATAATATTAACAGTATTAACATATTAAAATATCGTTTTACTCTACAGGTTTCAGTACAAGCGACGCCATGTGTCGATTGGGAATTAATGCCACCAGCAAATGGTGCTCTTAATTGTCTACCGGGTGACAGAGGAATCCAATGTATAGCAACATGTAGCCCAGGCTTCCGCTTCACTGATGGGGAACCCGTGAAAACATTCATTTGTGAAACCAAACGTCAATGGGTGCCTACTGCAGTGGTTCCGGACTGTGTGTCTGAAAGTAAATATTTTTATTTATTTTATCAGCTTTTATTTAGTTCCCGTATACCTGTATCTATCAGCGCGTACGAATTGCCGGTTTTCGATTAACTCCCAATTGTTTATACAAAAAATGTAAATCGTATTCTTTAAATTTTACATAAAAACGTGTTACATTAATTAATAAGTAAAGAAGGTGTAAAATTAAATATATAAATAACTAAACTATAAATTAATAATATATCTGTTTTGAATTTCTCAAGAGAAGAATAAATGAACATTTTTTTGTTTCCAGATACTCAACAAGCTGCTTATCACGTTGTCTCTAGTGTACAATACCGTGCTCTTGGTGCTGTTTCGAATGCTTGCTTACCGCAATATAAAGACTTACTGGCACAATATGACAATATACTAAACGAAAGGTTATCACAACGTTGTTCCGCGGTAAATGTCAACGTTAACGTTACATTCGTCAAAGCGATGCCAAGCCTGCTCGACGAAAACGTTGTCAAAATGGACTTTGTTCTCGCGATTACCCCAGATATTAGACAAACACAAGTATACGACCTGTGTGGCTCGACACTGAATCTAATATTTGATTTGTCAGTACCTCATGCTAGTGCTTTGATTGAACCTGTTTTGAATGTTTCGTCTATTGGAAATCAATGTCCACCGCTGCGAGCTATTCGAAGCACTATTACTCGAGGTTTTACCTGCAGCGTAGGGGAAGTTTTAAATATGGATACAAACGATGTTCCCAGATGTTGTAAGTATTAAAATCTTTGTTTATGTTAAGAAAACATTGCAATATTTAATGATTATATACTATTAAAAATAAAATTAAAATTTTTCAGTACACTGTCCTGCTGGTACTTTTGCTGGAGAAAAACAAAAAGCTTGTACGATGTGTCCACGTGGATTCTTCCAAAATCAAGCACGCCAAGGCTCATGTCTTAAATGCCCACAAGGAACTTTCACTAGAGAAGAAGGCTCTAAAGACATTACTGATTGTGTGCCAGTTTGCGGCTACGGCACCTTCTCACCAACAGGCCTAGTCCCTTGTCTGGAGTGCCCACGCAATAGCTATACAAGCGAACCACCTATAGGAGGATTTAAAGATTGTCAAGCTTGTCCTGTAAATACGTTTACATACCAACCTGCAGCACCAGGAAGAGATAGATGTAGAGCTAAATGTGCACCAGGTACTTATTCACCTACTGGTCTCGCTCCCTGCTCACAGTGTCCGCGAAACTTCTACCAAAACCTAGCTGGTCAAACACTTTGTAACGAATGCCCGACTAATATGAAGACAGTCGGTACCGGATCAATAGGATTGGAAGAATGTATTGCGGTAGAATGCTCTAATAGCGCTTGTCAACACGGAGGGCTCTGCGTGCCTAAGGGTCACGGAGTACAATGCTATTGCCCAGCAGGATTCTCAGGGCGTAGATGCGAAATTGATATCGACGAGTGCGCTAGCCAACCTTGTTATAATGGCGGTACCTGTACTGATCTACCTCAGGGCTACAGATGCTCTTGTCCTACTGGTTATGGTGGCATTAATTGTCAAGAAGAAAGATCCGAATGTAGAAATGATACTTGCCCAGAACGTGCTATGTGCAAAGATGAACCAGGATTCAATAACTACACTTGTTTATGTAGATCGGGCTACACTGGTGTTGATTGTGACATCACAGTAAGTTAGAAATTTTTCGACTATTAATATACCTATCACGTTGAATTAAATATAAAATTAACAAATATTTTTTACCTTTTCAGGTTGATCCTTGTACAGCAAATGGAAATCCATGCGCAAATGGAGCTACTTGTACTGCTCTACAACAAGGTAGATTCAAGTGCGAATGTCTACCAGGATGGGAAGGCCAACTCTGTGAAATAAATACTGATGATTGCATAGAGAAACCTTGTTTCCTCGGAGCACTTTGTACGGATTTAGTGAACGACTTCAGTTGCAACTGTCCACCAGGATTTTCTGGAAAACGTTGTCATGAAAAAATTGACCTTTGCTCAAATGAACCATGCAAACACGGAATTTGCGTTGACAAATTATTCGTCCACCAATGCATTTGTGACCCTGGATGGTCCGGACCGTCATGCGATATAAATATAAATGAATGTGTTATCTCTCCTTGTGAAAATGGCGGTCAATGCATGGATGGTATAGATGATTTTACTTGTGTATGCGAAGCTGGATACACTGGTAAACGGTGTCAGCACACAATCGATGACTGCGCATCTGATCCATGCCAAAATGGAGCTACCTGTGTCGATCAATTAGATGGTTTTATTTGCAAATGTCGTCCAGGATTCATAGGATTACAGTGTGAATCAGCAATTGATGAATGCTTGAATGAGCCATGCAATACTGCCGGCACTGAGCGGTGTATTGATCTGGACAACAAATATCAATGCGTTTGCCGAGAAGGTTTTACAGGAGAAATGTGCGAAACCAATATCGATGACTGCGCATCTAATCCTTGTTTCAACGGAGGTTCATGCAAAGATGAAATCGGTGACTACAGATGTACCTGTCAACCAGGATGGACAGGCAAACGATGTGAAAGGGATATTGGCAACTGCATCAACAGACCATGTCAAAATAATGCTAGATGTATTGATCTCTTCCAAGACTTCTTCTGTGTGTAAGTATTACTTATATATTCACGTTTTGCTATTTATTATCTTTTTTGGCCATAACAGATCATTGGCTCCTTCTTATTATTTAAGACATGAAACCTTGCTAAATAAATAAATATGTATTTATATTTGCAGGTGCCCAAGTGGAACCGATGGCAAGCAATGTGAAACTGCGCCTGAAAGATGTATCGGCAGTCCCTGTATGCATGGTGGAAAATGTCAAGATTTCGGCTCCGGACTTAACTGCACTTGTTCTCAAGATTACGTTGGTATTGGCTGCCAATACGAATTTGATGCTTGCGAAGCCGGGCTTTGTCAAAACGGAGCCACTTGCATTGATGAAGGCGAAGATTATACTTGCCTTTGCGCACCAGGTTTCAAAGGAAAGAACTGTGATGAGGATATTATTGATTGCAAAGAAAACTCATGCCCGCCGTCTGCTACATGCATCGATTTACCAGGAAGATTCTACTGTCAATGCCCATTCAATGTTACTGGTGATGATTGTCGGAAAAGTAAGTACCCACTTTCTTATTTTCATTGCCGTAATAAGTAATTATATTTAAGTAGCTCATTAATTTCTATCTGTGCTAACAATATAAGTAAATATCTTATACTTATCCAATTCCTATATCTCAAGCAAATATATCTTTCCAGCAATAAGCGTCGACTATGACCTATACTTCAGCGACCCATTACGTTCGAGTGCTGCTCAAGTGGTACCATTCGATACAGGATCCACAGACAGTCTAACGATCGCCATGTGGGTTCAGTACACACAACAGGACGAAGGGGGCGTTTTCTTCACAGCTTATAGTGTCAGGTATAAATATTATATTTACTTTTTATGGTTTAAGTTAAGTATAAATTGAGCTTCGCCAAACTTTAATGAAATATTTTTTTTAGTGTTTGTTATTGTTTATCTATGATTCGCGTACTCGTATAGTATTCGATGTGCGTGTCTGTTAATGACTAATTAAATTATATATATATATATATATATATATATATATATATATATATATATATTCTACTGGCTTCACGCGTACCCACGTCAAATACAGGAAAATTGTTTTGACACGCTCCGAATCGCAACCTGTCTACTGCTTGGGGTCCCGGTCTGCGCTCCTCATAAATGTCCCTGTGGCGGTGATGTCAACAAGCTAGGACATCACGGACTGTCATGCCAAAAAAGTGCAGGTCACTTCTCGAGACATGCTGCACTTAACGATATCAAACGCCGGTACCTTTCCACCGTCAACGTGCCAAGTCTACTTGAGCCGACTGGTATTGTAAGAGACGATGGCAAGAGACCGGACGGTATGAGTTTGATTCCATGGAAGATGGGCCGGGTACTAGTATAGGATGCAACCTGTTCACACACGCTGGCCCCTTCCCATCTACATGGAACCAATAACAGAGCTGGTGCCGCTTGCGAAGCGGCTGAAAAAGCTAAGGCGTGCAAATACAGGGATCTAGGCTCCGAATATGATTTTGTCCCATTCGGTGTCGAGACCTTTGGTCCGTGGGGTCCTAGCGCTGTAAGGCTTTTTAAGGAAATAGCAAAAAGGTTAGTCGACGTCACAGGAGACCGAAGAGCTGGTAGCTACTTCGGACAAAGAATTAGTCTAGCTATTCAAAAGGGGAACGCTGCCAGTATCTTTGGAACCTTGCCTAAAGGGACTCTTTTTTATAATGTATTTTAGTTATTATACACACATCAAAAATGTCTAGGGATCAAGCATTTTTATGCGGATTTCTTGAGATTGAGATGTGGCTTTGTAATAAATTTATGATTTTATAAATTTATATGGATCCTTTTTGGTGCATTTCATAATTTGAATCAGGAACTGTGAATCAAATTCGAGTAAAAGATGAAAATCAGCTGTCAATATTTTCCCTATAAAAACATACAACGCATTGAAGACATTATTAGTGCTACTGTTTCCCTACTACTGATTAAAACCAACGTTATTATGGAGCGGCGACGTCATTTAAGCAGGGAAGAAATGCTCAGAGCCGTGGGAATGATAGAAGCTGGTTCCCGGCAACGTACTGTGGCTTTAGCTCTGAATACAAGTCAGAGTGTTATCAGTCGACTTTGGACACGATACCGAAGCACTGGTACCGTGGCTGAGCGCCATGGAGGACGGTATCGCTGCAGCACACGGAGACAAGACCGATACATTCAAATCTTAACTCGAAGAGCTCCAACAATAACCGCCATGATGTTAGCCGTGAGGCTTCATCACTCTTCAGGGAACTTAATTAGCGACCAAACAGTCAGAAACCGCTTGCATGAAGTGAACCTTCATTCCCGAAGACCGCTACGGGTACCACCTATAGCAATGCACAATCGTAGGATTCGATATCAATGGGCTCTTGAACACAGAAATTGGGCAGAAGAACAATGGCGTTTCGTGTGCTTTTCTGATGAGTCTCGTTTTGGTATGAGACCGGATACAAGACGTATACGACACTGGAGAACCCCTGGACGCCAACAGCGATTAAAATCCTGCCAGGAAGTCCATCCTTATAGTGGTGGAACCATCATGGTATGGGCGGGTATTTGGATCGGCGGAAGAACTGAGTTGATTTGGATCAGAGGCAACCTCAACGCTCAAATTTATGCTGAGACGATTGTATCAGACGTCATCGTTCCTCTACAAGTGCAAATCGGTCCCTTATTTCAGTTAATGCATGATAATGCACGACCGCACACCGCAAGAGTTGTAAGACAGACTCTCGCCGCAGCTAACATCAATGTCCTGCCCTGGCCTGCTCAGTCGCCAGACTTGAACCCGATTGAGCATGCATGGGATATGCTACAGAGAAGAGCTCTGCCGAATATGGAGGGTATCCAGTCGCAAGAAGACCTTTTTTTGTTGTTGCAACGAACATGGGCGGCCATTCCACAGCGTGATTTGGATGAACTCATTTTGAGTATGCCAAACCGATGTTCTTGTGTTGTTAGTGTTCGCGGTAGAAATACGGATTATTAATTGTTTAAGTTACCCAATAAAATTTTAGAGAAAACTGTTATTTCAGTCTTTTTTTCGAACTTTTGTGTTAGTGGTTCAAATGTCAAAAATCCCTTTATTAGGAAAATGGCAAATTTCTTTATTAATGCAAAGGTGACTTGGTTTATCGTTACTGTGACAAACGAAAACACTTTATTTGATGAATCCTTAAAGAAAATTTTAATTAATATCAATCAGGAGAAAAGTTATTGCAAAAATATATGTTGATCCCTAGACACTTTTGATGTGTGTATATTTTAAGGTTTTTAGTTATAAATATCTTACTATTTGTTCTTTAGTTAAATTAGTAAAATTAAATTATATTATTTCAGTAATTCTCATATTGCACTGAATAGGAGACCTATCATCCAAGCACATTCTAATGGAGTACAAGTTTCTATCTTCCCGGAACTGCAAGATGTGTATCTCAGTTTTGGTGAATTTGCGACCGTTAATGATGGACAATGGCATCATGTTGCTCTAGTGTGGGACGGTAACAATGGTGGTGAACTGACGCTTATCACCGAAGGCTTAATAGCTAGCAAACTTGAAGGATATGGCAGCGGCCGAAGCCTACCAAAATAGTAAGTGATTACAATTGCATAGATGAAAAAAGTATTGATAAAATGAAAATACTTAGTCAAACAACTAAGTAACTATGTTCTAAATGACTTTTTTGTTGCAGTGTATGGGTAACTTTAGGCAAACCACAATCAGATAACCCTAAAGCCTACACCGAATCTGGCTTCCAAGGACATCTGACTAAAGTGCAAATTTGGAATCGTGCTCTAGATGTGACCAATGAAATACAGAAACAAGTCCGTGATTGTCGAACTGAACCAGTCCTTTACACCGGATTAACCTTAACTTGGGCAGGGTACGATGACATTTTTGGTGGCGTAGAGAGAATAGTACCATCACACTGTGGGCAACGAAAATGTCCTAACGGATATACTGGATCGAAATGCCAACAACTCCAAGTTGATAAAGAACCACCACGTGTAGAACGCTGCCCAGGAGATCTGTGGGTAATTGCCAAAAATGGATCATCGATTGTCATTTGGGACGCGCCTGTATTTACCGATAATGTTGGAGTAGATAAAATCTTGGAGAACTCTGGACATAAGCCTGGACAAAACCTCGTGTGGGGCTCTTATGATATTGCTTATATTGCATACGATGCTGCTGGCAACACCGCCACATGCACTTTCAAAGTTACAGTTTTATGTAAGTAGTCTCGAAAAGTTTATAATTTTTTTACTAGATGAAGTTAATATAAGCAACTTGCTGGTATTGCACAAATCGGATATATAACATCTATAATATAAAAATGAATCGCTGAATGTGTTGCTAAGCGCAAATCTCGAGAACAGCTGAACCGATAAAAAAATTGCGTGAAAAAGTCAATAAACAACTATTTTCTATACTCCCATACAAACGATTCGTAATACTACTTAAAAGTCAATTTGAACTTTAATACCATACCATAAATTTTTAAATGTTTGTGGAGAGGTTCCGGGAAGGCAAAACAGTTGAGTGACGTGATGTCAATAGAAGTTTGGAAAAGGCAAATATACCATTTTCAGGTATTTTTATAATTATATGAAGAGGCATTTTTGTCTACACTACAGCTCTACACCGAAGCGAAGCGAGGGCGGGCCTCTAGTATTTTAATAAAAATTTAAACACTGATCACCTTGCACGATATCTCTACTGTTTTTTTTCCGCAACACCTATTTTATAACTTCAACTTGTCTGTAAGTACCTAAACAACATCTTTGTTGCAGCTGAATTCTGTCCACCATTGGCTGACCCTCTTGGCGGATACCAATCCTGCCGCGATTGGGGAGCGGGAGGTCAATTCAAGGTGTGCGAGATCGCATGTCGCGACGGTCTGCGTTTCTCGCAATCTGTACCGCCATTCTACACATGCGGAGCTGAAGGTTTCTGGAGACCAACTACCGACCCGAACTTGCCGCTAGTATATCCTGCTTGCTCACGTAAGATACTGTTAACATATATGTATTAACAAATCCAGTTAGTTTTATTTTTAATGATTACTAATTAATAATTGCGGTTTACAGCGGCATCTGCAGCTCAGCGTGTATTCAAGATTTCGATGCTGTTCCCAAGCTCAGTTCTCTGCAATGACGCGGGACAAGGAGTACTCCGACAAAAAGTACGCACTGCAATCAATCAGCTCAACAGAGATTGGAACTTCTGCTCCTATGCTGTCGATGGTTAGTTCATGCATATATGTTAGTACGATTTTTCTGTGAATAGGGATGATGACTATTTTTTTTTCTTCGTTTATCAGGTAGATTATCAAAAGTATTGGACACGTATTTTTTTTCACATAATATAAACATTGCAGTGATATATTGATTTGAAAAGTCGCATGACGTCACGCTTTAGTACAAGTTTCACTTAAAATTGACGTCACGAGCCCCTACCCCCAAACTTTGACGCGCTATAACTTTGTCATTTTTTGGTTGATTTCCCAAAGAAAAAATATGTGTCCATTATTTTTTTATCATCTAACTGACGGACTAAATAGAATTTCGTTTACTGTACCCCGTCATCACCCCTATTTAAGTACCGAACATTTTACTAACCATTTTACCTTCTTTTTTATGTAAGGTACACGAGAGTGCAAGGAATTGGATATTAATGTTAAATGCGACCACAGAGCGAATTCGAGACAGACACGCCAAATTTCCTCGCTTCCTAGCACACCTACTGAAGACACATATGTCTTAGACGCTATTATACCTGTGGAAGAGTAAGTATTAAGCATCAGTTCTTATTTAGTGTTGTACCTATTAAGTAAAATAGAAAAAAAAAATTAAGTATACTTTACTTGCATCTCTTTAGCATACACGTTGTAGAGGTACGATAGGTTGAAATGCACACGTACAGCTAATTTTATAGTAGTCAAATATTTCAAATGCAAAATTAAAGATCTCTATGTAGCGCACTACTAAGAAGCATGTGTTGCAATAACACAGCACTTTGTATAGAACATAAATACAAATTTGAGTCTGCACCTTATGGTCATTTAATTTCCGGAGGCATGTTCTTCCGACACAATTGCATGTTCTTTTCTCTGGCACTTAGGACTCGCAGCAATAGGGAGGGACGTCAAGCCGGTGATACCTACAACGTTGAGATCTCTTTCCCGGCCATCAAGTAAGTTATTTGCATGTTCTGTTGCACATCTATTTTCTGAAAGCTACATTGCTCTGTATAACGTATCACTATAAATTGTGGGCGAGGTAGTTTATCGATTTACATATGAAAGCCTTTTCAAACTGCCTGTATATTCTTGCATTGTTGTGTCTGTTGCGCTGTCAGTTTATTTCACAACCGCTTTTGTTCCTTAGCACTTGTTTAATTGTATGCACATTTATTCATTCTAGCGACCCGGTAATCCATAACGGTAACAACGAGCGGTCTACAGTGCAAAGATTACTGGAGAAATTAATTCTCGAAGACGAACAATTCGACGTTAGAAACATTCTTCCGAATACTGTGCCCGATCCGGCTAGCTTATCACTGGTTTCCGACTACGCTTGTCCTATGGGACAAGTCGTTATGGCACCCGACTGCGGTATGTATCATGCAAGCTCAAAATTACAATAATTGTCTGCTGTTGCGATACAGTGAACTGAAACGAAACCCCGATAGGGTTTGAACTGTACTTTATTAACATAAAGTTCGAAATAGATTGCCAGACACTGTAATGATTATGCACTAGAGACTTATAAGTAATCCTGTGATTACGTATAAGATAATGGCAAATTTCACAGATATCATGAATCTGATTTTTCTGTATTTTAACTTTAAGTCCCACTTGCAACAAATTTGCTAAATCTCGACTCGACTAAAGCTAGATTTAAACCATACAATAATTTCAAAATGTCAATGTAAATTGGACATTATTGTATGGGCTAAATCCAGTTCTAGTTGAATCGAGATTTTGCAGGCTTGCTGCAGTGGGCCTGAGATATGAAAAAAAGTTTAACTTCCTTTTTTTATTTTAGTGGCTTGCGCCGTCGGCACTTACTTGGACGCATCTAGCGATACTTGCAAGCCGTGTCCTACAGGCACATATCAATCTGAAGCAGGACAATTACAATGTACAGCATGTCCTACAATTGCTGGACAGCCAGGTGTGACGCAAGCTGCTGGGGCAAGGAGTGCGGCTGATTGTAAAGGTAAAGTTCTTGTGATAAATTCTAAAATAGATCTTCATCTGAGTAGGTGACACAACCCGGGGAACGCCCCGTCTAAAATATAAGGTGTTTTTACGGAATCGCACTTTCCAAGCGTGAGGAAGCAAGGTACGCTTCAGTGTCACTGTTGTAGCTACATCAAACCAATAATAAACAAGCACTAATCTCTTGTCTTTGTCTACTGTAATATAATTATAAATGATACATTAGTGCGAAGTATAATTATTTTGTGTAGATGTCTCTACTACATTCTTATCAGATCTAGTTTTTACTCTATTTCCCACTGGCATACACCGGAATAGTACTCTGCTCTGTAGTAAAGCGTCTCCCGACATTGTAGAAGACACCGAAGTTAATTTTGCTTGCATTTCAACATTTCAGCTCGCTGTATTTCCCCAGACACATGAGTATCTATTAGTTCGTAGCGATACTACTAGAACGAGATCATGAGTTCATTTTCTTCATAAACGAAACATAGTAAAGTCTATCAAAAAGAACGAATCAAAAGAACTTTCTCATAGGTCAATTTTAATGAAGATTATTTGAATTTTCGTAGGATAGGATACTTTGCGAGACTAATTTTAATTTAAAATTATTAATGATGTTCATTTTGTGACTTTCTTTGAAATTACAATGAAACAAGACAATACGACACTTTGACTAGCACTAAATTTAGTTAGTGTCTTTGAATGTCACTGGTCAATAAATTGAACACAACCGATATCATACTCTGCTAAGGTTACTTATAAGGGTAATATCTGTCTCATGATTATAAAGAAATTTTCATTAATTATGCAAGTAACATAATCATTATACTTTTAATAGTAGCCTAGGTACCTACAATACCTACATACAGACCACAAACAACATCGAAATAAAAAATCCGGAAAATGTAAATTATACAAAAACTGCAAAAAATATCGTACTCATATAATAATATTGGCATTCAGTCACGCGGCATGGTCCAAGCAAAACACACAACTCGGTAGTTACAACTAAAAGGCGATTTCAGCTATACCGAAACTAAAACGTTGGCTTACAGAGAGATGCGCTGCTGGTAAATACTACGATGCCGAGGCTGAATTGTGCCGTCCCTGTGGACACGGCTCCTACCAGCCGAGGGAGGGAGCGTTCGCTTGCCTCTCCTGCCCTAGGGGACAGACCACGCGAGCCACGGAGGCCGTATCAGCCGCGGAGTGCAGAGATGACTGTCCCTCAGGTAAGTTTGATTCATACACTTTTATAACAAATGCTCCTTCTAAATACTACGATGCCGAGGCTAAATTATGCCGTCCCTATGAACACTGGTGAAAATATTATTTTTTTATATACGAAGCAGAAAAAAATACCCTACTTCACCTGATGTCAAGTGTAAGTTGAGTCCTGACGCAAAGATAGGATGCGGCAAAAGCTGTGCCGCTCCAGCCATCCTGACTAGCCTGCATGAACATCCGTGTCTTTTATTAGTATTCCTCTATTGTTGACAGTAATTAAAGTTGATAGACGTGTCTGAGTAAGGTCGTAAAACTCCAATACAAATTGTTAAATCATCTTATGTTTGGTACCAGGCGAGCAGCTGAGCAGCGAAGGTGGATGCGAGCCGTGCCCGCGCGGCACTTTCCGCGCGACGGGCGCGGGCGCCGCGTGCGCGCCTTGCCCGCCCGGCACCACTACGCCACAGCCCGGCGCTGCGTCCGCCGACCAGTGCTCCCTGCCCGTCTGCAAACCTGGTAACTATGTTCTTTACAGCCTATTAATCTATACTTCTTCTTCTTCCTAGTCGTGCACTCTTGACAGAGTGGTCGTGGCCATGTCTCGATCGATTCTTGTGCCACTGATGCAATCGCGGCGCGTCGCCATGCAGCTCGATGCTTTGCAGAGCGAGAACAATTCCTCCACCACAGTCTCCAACACCACATTTCCAGAGCGTTAATCTTGCGACGGTCTTTCGTTTTGAGTGTCCACGTCTCAGCTCTATATAGAAAGATTGGAAAAACCAAGGATCTCATAGCCGAACCTTTGTGTTTTTGGTTATCCTACGGTATCTCCAAATCTTTGTGAGTTTTTCCACTGATGATCTAGTCATGGCGCAACGTCTTCGAATTTCAACCTCGCAGCCCCCATCGTTGGTAATAGTGAAACCCAGATATATGTAGCTGTTGACAACCTCGCAACCCGCTATACTCTGGACGTCCGGTTGGTTATAGTTAGCCCGACCCACAATCATTATTTTGGTCTTATCACGATTGATTGCAAGTCCAAATTCCAACGCTGTCGTCTCTAGTCGATGAAGAAGCAATTCGATATCCTCTCTGGTTGACGCTAGGAGGGTAGTATCGTCGGCGTATCTTAAGTTAGACACTTTTCTGCCTCCTACGGATATTCCTTCACCCCAATCTTCCAGAACAATCCGCATTATATACCCTGTATATATATTAAATAGTAGGGGAGACAATTTACAACCCTGTCTTACACCGGCCTGTTTTTTGAAGTGCTCAGAGTGGATATCGTCGACCCGGACAGCTGTAGTAATCTATACTAGGTACATATTATAAAATGGTAGGAAAGTAAAAACTGTACATTGAATATTTTTTTTAAAAAAATACTTGCGGTGTGATCTATAATCGATACCGAAGCCAAAAATATAGTTTTTTAGAATTTTGACTGTTTGTCTGTTTATCTGTTTATCTGTATGTAAGTCCGAGATAAACTCAAAAAGTACTGCATGGATTTACTTCAAATTTGGGACGAATATTATTAAGAACTCGGGTCAACATATAAGCAACATATTATCACGCTATCACCTACGGGGAACGAGCAGTGAATCTTTATTTCTAACTAACTCCACGCGTACGAAGTCGCGGGCGGCCGCTAGTATGTTCATAAAAGAATTTCATTAGATAGCTTTACAACGGATACAGGCGACTCATAACTGGATCCCGCAGTTACGTCTGGAGGGTGATGGGTCAAGGTATTGGTTTACCTGGTAGGTACGGGAGCCCGTCGGCTGGCTAGCCGGTCAGACTAAGGTCCGTTGTGACAAGTCAGGTGACACAGTGTGAACGGAGAAGCCCAGAATCGGCTTAAGCGGTTGCGGACCGGGCTGCCTGACAGATGTGGAGTGCTTTTTTTATATAGCCAGGTAGGCAGATGACTCTACCCCACCTGATGTTAAATGGTGATTAAGTCTAAACGCTGATTTGACGTCTCCCACGCTTGCGTGATCGTACGTCAAAGTATACCTACACCGCCGAGGAACCCTTGGAACGCTCTCACTGGCCGAATGCACCAATTACCTGTGTGTAGGGGGCGACAGCAAACCACCTCGGCGCTGGTCATTATATGTGGATTTAATAAATTTTACTCCCCGTCATCGAAAAAGAAAGGGTATTAACGTCACCGTACAGCGAAAAGTAACCTTTGATGCTTTGTTATTGTATAGGTATTATTATAGAGCTGAAAGGAAAATATCTTTATATATATAATTCTTCTGTGAGTGTGTATGTCACTGAATTTCTCTTAAACGACTGGACCGATTTTGATGAAATTTTTTGTGTGTGTTCAAGGGGATCTGAGAATGGTTTAGATTCACAATTTTGTCCGCTGGACAACCCCTATTTTTTTAGGGCGGTACGAAGTTCGCTGGGTCAGCTAGTATTCCATAAAGTTCTTTCAAAGATAATCTGTTCTAGATACTCATTCTTTAGCTAGGGTGGTTACCTACCTTTTACTTTTTCCGTATTTTTATACCGCGTATTTGTGGAACGTAATTTAATTCAATACCTAATTATTTAATAAACTCTTCCTCACTGTACTGGAATCAAAATATTAATAACTTTTATTAATTTCTAATCATTGTCTTATCTTCCATAACAGGTTCATACCTCGATGTTGGTCAGAACACTTGCATCCAGTGCAAGAAGGGCACCTACCAGTCGGAGGCTCAACAGACCACGTGTCTCAACTGTCCAATCAACACTAGCACTAAGGAGCCTGGCGCTGTAAGTACTACTGTAGTTTTACTAGCCCAGAATCATTCAAAAACCATCCATACTATCCATACTAATATTATAAATGCAAAAATGTGTCTGTCTGTTACCTCTTCACGCTTAAACCGCTGACCCGATTGAGATGCCCGAGAAACGACATAGTTTTTAACCCAGAAATCATCCTTTAAGGGTTAATTAAAAGGTGGTGGAAGTTCATATGGGAAACCAATTTTTCAATGCAGACAAAGTTGACAAAGAAACGTCAATAAATAAATAAATTTTCGTGCATTAACCCGTAAAAACTAGTTTTATTTATATCTATATTGTATTTATTTTAACACTACTTTTTGTTTTTCTTAATATCAGTAAAGTCAAACTTAAGTTAATAAAAAAAAAGGTTTTGAGTCTAAAAGTCGATTATGTGTTTATTTTGGATGTAGTAAGTATTAACACTTAACACGTTTTTCTCTACAGACTTCAGAGTCGGATTGCACCAACCCTTGCGAGATGAGCGGCCCCGAGATGCATTGCGATGTCAACGCTTATTGCCTACTCATGAAGGACACCAACGACTTTAAATGCCAGTGCAAGCCTGGCTTCAACGGCACCGGAAAAGTTTGCGTTGGTAAGTACACTACAGTGGAAAAAATGGAAAGGAGATTGCTCAGCTTCCATACATGTTTGGCCTAAAGACCAATAATCATGAATGGTTGTTTCCTAGATTCGAAATTATATATAAATTACTGTAGAAACGAATATTATTGACGGACACCTCTGAGAACTTCTATAAACCATATACCCTGAATGATTTTGAGGCTATGTTTGCAAATAGGTGCATAGGTATTAAATTAATAAAAAACAAATAAGTTATATAGCAAACTAGGGAAATCAAACCAAGTGCCGAAACTATATATTAGATTCAGGTATATAAAGCATGTAGATTAATAGATAGTTGTCTGTTTTTAAAGTTAATGCATAAGAGTAACTTTTAAAATCAGGTTTCATTTATGCATTTCCGGTTATAATAAGGTACTCTGTGATAGAAAGTGTGTGTTATTTGTAAATGAGCCACAGATTAGAGAGAATTTATAAACTCTCATTAACTAAAGAAAGCTTATTATTTTTGTTATGTTTATAATATAAACATAACAAAAATACCACAAATATTAATTCCACAGTATAATAAAAAAAATGATTTATTTTATCGATCTTTACAAAATTGATTTGTTTTGATGTTATATAAACAACGTCGATCAGTCTTTGGCTGAATGTTACTACACCCATAGCCATTAAAAATGATTCGTATGTTTTCCAAACCGGTAAAATTAAAAGTCCTTTTTAAAATGGATATATTATACAAAGGTGTCCGTTAAAATCTAATCACTGTAAAATAAAGTATAAATTACGCCAAGAATTACCGAATATGTCAATATTTTATGTACATTTGGGCCAATTTGAGCAATCTCCTTTATCCTCTTAACAATGCACGGTTTTGGTGTTTTTTTTTCTATTTGGCTTCGCACGGTTTGTGCATTTACTCAATGTCAAGTGTAAAATGTTCACATAGTCTAAAGTACTCGTGGTCAAAATATTAGTCAAGTCAAAGTAAGTGGCATTCAAGTCAATCCCCCTTTCCCTATGTTTCAGTAAATATGTGGGGATTTACTGGAACATCCCCGTGGACTTCTTGAGGGAACGTCGAAAGACTATTATCCGCTATTTTGTTTCACTTGCCAACACTTGTGCATGTTTCCGAACACTTAGTGGTTAATAATCCACCATTATTAGACACTAACATCCGCCACAACACAATTTTTAACAAGAAAAACAAAACTGTTAAAGTGGCGCTTCCCGATCCCACCAAAAAGTCCGGTTTTGGTAGATGATAGTAGAAGAAAACTACGTAGTTGATTTTCAGGCCAAATTACCAAAACTTACAATAAAAACGAAAGAGTATTTAATAAATACTCTTATTATATTTAGATTAAAATTCTGCTCAAAGGACTTACTTAACAAAAATTTTAGATTTAAAACTCTATTTTAGAATTAATAAAACTGCAGTTTAATTCAATATTTTACATAATATTTATACTTTTATTCAAGAAAATTAAGCCATTCTTAGCGGTTCCATCTGTATTCACAATATAAAGTCATTATTTCTAGTGAAAAAGCACGAGCCACAAGCGTTCTGAAAGGACTGCTTTTAGGCTAGATGTCGCTCGTATCATTCGTCTGTACGCATTTGTTGACCAAATTATTAATTTAATAATTCGTATTAGTTTATTTACTGATGCCTACGTAATATTATTGTACACCTACATTTTTTCCTATCAGTTTTACCCATTGGTTTCTTCGTAGTAAATTTTCTCCCGTATAGTCTCATTGCATTTGGATTACACCAACACGCGTAAGATTGCATCAACATTTTATATGTATAATCATAATCAAGGACGTATAAAAAACCTTTTTTTATACGTCCATGATCATAATAATATTAAACTTCTACCATCAAAAATTACACCTGTCTTTTTCCTAGATTTGTGAGGATCTGGCGTCTGAAATATTGTTGCTGAGCGAGCATAGGCTCACTGTAAAACACTAAGTTGTATAATCAGCCTATACTATACTATGAAACTATCTATGACTTTTTATAAAAGGAGCGTACACCTTTCGAAACGGTCGTCATCTCATTTGTGATACTTCTGGTGTTGCTGATGTCTGTGGGCGGCGGGTGATCACATACCACCAGATGAGCCCTTTATTATAACCTTAAAACAAAACTTTATCTAAACTTGTAGATGTGTGCCTGGACTTCTGCGATAACGGTGGCGAGTGCGTGAAGGATGCCCGCGGCGAGCCATCGTGCAGGTGTACGGGCTCATTTACCGGCCGCCACTGTACGGAGAAGAGCGAGTTCGCGTACATCGCGAGCGGCGTCGCGGGCGGCGTCATATTCATCATATTCCTGGTGCTGCTTGTATGGATGATCTGTGCCAGGTATATCACTTTAACCACGATACGAACCTAGTTACCTATTTGTGCGGGATTTGCAGCCGCCATTGTACAGAGAAGAGTAAATTCGCGTACATCGCGGCGTCATGTTCCTTATATTCCTGGTGCTGTTTGTATGGAGGATCTATGCAAGGTATGTCGTAGGGCGACAAAATGAACCTATTTTAAACGGGCTTCTTTAGTAGCCGCCACAGAGAAGTGTGAATTACATCGCTAGTGGAGTCGCGGGCGGTGTCATATTCATCATATGCCTGGTGCTGCTTGTATGGATGATCTGTGCCAGGTACTTTCAATAGGACGATAAGATAAACCTATTTAAACAGGCCGTCACTGTACGGAGAAGAGCTAATTCGCGCACATAACCGGTGGCGTCACATTCATCAAATTCCTGGTGTTGCTTGTATGAATGATCTGTGCCATGTATGTCATTTAACCTACACCCTACTTACCTACCTACCTATTATTACCTACGACCTATTTTAAATAGGTTCGTTTAGCAGCCGTCATTATACAGTGAAAGAGAGTTCACGTACGTAGGAACGGTGTCACGGGTGGCGTCACTATGTGTCATATTCCTGGTGCCACTTGTGTAATGATCTGTATACCAGGTATTTCGCTTAGCTTACATAAAACTAGAACAACAAAAAAGGATACCTATTTCAAAAGGGCTTGTTAAGCAGCCACCACTCAAGGCGTCAAGGACATAAATTTTAGCAGAAATTATGATCACTGGCGTTGCACTTGTATTATGTTCTGTTTATTTTATTGATGTTCTAAGTACTTACTTATTTCCATCACATCATTAGAAAATGATAACAGCCGTAAAAGTCACTTCATAAACAAAATTATTGGGGTACTTATCATAGCAATAATATAGGAAGATAAAATGACTCATTTGAAATAGACACCGAATAAAAAGGCAACAACACTGCGTCTCATCAGATACTTACCAATTAAATCCAAGACAATTTATCAAAAAATGACAAAGAACAAAAGTTAAGTCCCTTTACCGTGAAAATGTAATTTCTGCGTATTTGGGATAAGGGTAAGAACCAATTTGATCGAATAATGACTTACCTTTGTTTTATCAGGGAGATAATGGAGGTCAAAAGGTTAGAAATATCTTGTGTGAGAATGAAACTTCAAAACAAATGACAGTTAACGACGATATTGTAATTATTAATGTTAAAATGTTCATTATTTAGATAATGTTGACTGTATGAGTTCCAGATTTCGATGTATTTTTTGCATATAATTAATAATGTACATACTCATGTACCATAAATATGAGTGACTCGAATCGATATTAATGATTTATCTGCAATAAAATTCTTAGATTCGCCATATCTCCATATATCTGACGACCTCCGTGGCCGAGTGGTTTGTACGCCGGGTTTCATGGTGTCGCCGACTCGAGAGGTCCCGGGTTCGAATCCTGGTGGGGGCAGATGTTTGTGTAATGAATACGAGCATTTGTACTCCAGTCATGGATGTTTAATATGTATTTCTATATAAATATACTTATATAGGTGTGTACAGTATATGTATTCTATCCGTTACCCTAGTATCCCATAATACAAGCCTTATAGTGCTTAGCTTGGGGCTAGGCTAATTGGTGTGAGTGTTGGAAATATTTATTATTTATTATTATTATATCATTAGCCGGGTTGGCAAAGTATGAATAAATTTATATTACAAGCACATTTAAAGATTGACTGTTGTTCATTTTCATCTTAATTACTCATATTTCACGATCTAAATATTCTGGTTATCCGGTTTCTATTTGTTAACAATGGTCTTGTTTTGAAATACTCCATGTTGTTTACTTTCTCTAATTGACTCACCCCCAACTAATTAGAGCGTTAGTGTATTTGTTTAGTGATTTAGATGTTTTTATGGACATAGTGTTTGGGTAACTTTATCACAATCTTTGTCTATCATTAAATCTATAAACTGAATGTTTCGAGTATTCCATTGCAATGCAATTGCATCTTAACACATCTATCTTATAAAATCCTTTCAGTGTTCGTAATTTTACAAAGTTTCCTTCACTAAATACAAATAAACTCTGATCATACCTAAAATTATAATATTACTAACATCTTCGATTTAACACTTATTAATCACTTCTTTTTCTAGATCATCAAAGAGGAAGGAACCAAAGAAGACTCTTACTCCAGCTATTGACCAAAACGGTTCTCAAGTGAACTTCTATTACGGAGCGCACACGCCATACGCGGAGTCCATAGCTCCATCGCATCACTCCACGTACGCTCATTACTATGACGACGAGGAAGACGGATGGGAAATGCCAAATTTCTACAACGAAACCTACATGAAAGAAAGCTTACATAACGGCATGAACGGCAAGATGAACAGCCTGGCGAGGTCAAACGCCAGCATATACGGGACTAAGGAAGACCTCTATGACAGACTGAAGAGGCATGCGTACCCTGGTAAGAAAGGTCAGTATTTCGGCACATAGATTAGTTGTTCACATCGTCTCTATCCTTTGCAGCCTAACGCACGATAATCATTTTGCTTTATTCCTTCCATGACTCGTTGACTCACACGAACGGGTATCACATTTCTTGCTGAAACATCATTTTACGTGATTTACGAAAGATTTTTCATATCGGAGAAAAGAATAAAATATACCACTTTTACTTGTGACATGAAACTTGACTTAAGAGTTAAAAATGTTTGGTTCGATGGTTAGAAGTGTGTGCCAAATAACTTGTTGAACTAACATTAATGGATTTCCCTGGAGTCTTATACTTATACATTATCTTCCCTCGATATGCTGTCGATATTCGGTTCAGGGAAGAAATATTTGATAAATGTAACATTAGAACAAATGGGTTTCGTCTGTTAGAAGAAATAAAACAAGCATTAAAAGTAAAAGTAGTTCCTTGTTATAAACGCCAAAAATACTAATACATTATTAATATGTGGGAGGATATAGTTATAGGCGGATATTACTTATCATCAAGAAGATTTTTTTGTTACCAAAAATCTACAAAATTTTAATGAAATATTAAAAAGAAATAATGGGTACTTACATACTAAGGTGTTTTGACAACAAGTTATTCTCTTCGTCTGTATGTACGAGTATGTTGCTTTTTCACATATTAACAGTTTGGGGACCTTAAAAAAGGAAAAAAGAGTCGTACGTACTTTTGTCGTGAAACCGCAGAACAGAACAAAAGAGATAACAGTACTTTTTCAAGTTGTTAACTTAGCAGGGGAAAAATGTTTATTCGCAAACTCAGACAAGTATATTCCACGCTACATGTTGAGGGCTTTTGAGGGGGAGATTACCTATTTATAGTGTCGATTCTGGCATGATTCTCTGAACTTAAATTTGACAACAGAGTATCCTTGTTATATTCTCTATACAGAATGAAAATTAGAGACCGATGTTAAATTTAGTTTTAAGTTTAGAGAATCATGTCATAATTGACACCGCTATCAGTAAAATGTATGGGAATAAGTATTAGGTGCTTCACAGATTAGGCTTAATGCAGCGATTAAAATCTTTGGCCTAATGAAACAAACCGAAGTACCTACATGCCAATTCAAATGGCGTACATTTATCATGGGATTTTGGTATTACCTTAAAAAGCTGATTTTATAGTTTCTATAAATTAAATAATTGGGCGTGATTTTATGAAACCACGATGCAAGTGAAACTGAAAATAATTAATAATGAAAGTCCGTCCTCGGCATGGAAGCGAACCCGAGCCGCCCGCGAAGTAGTCGAACTTTCAACCACTAAACCACCGCTGCTTGTTGATATTGACTGTTTTTTTAATAACAATTAAAAAATGTAATGCGGCATGCTAAAAATAAACTTTAGAAAATGTGGCAAATTAATAAAAAGTTTCCTTTAAAAAAACCGTTTGGTTTATGATTACATACAAGAATTTACAACAAAAAAACTATAGCTATAGGAAGTTTCCTCACGATTCACTCGACCCATTGCCCATTACGTTATCATATCTAGCAAACTGATTCAATAGCCGAGCACTTACGCACAATACTGATGTAACTAATTAAACTTACAACACAAACAATTTACGTTATACTCCTCCTACCAACAAAAATAACGATTGTTAATTTTTTTATCATTATTTGTTACAGATAAAAGTGACAGTGACAGCGAGGGTCAGTAATTGTTAAGGGACTGCGTTTCGACGTATTCTGGTCAATCTTACATAATACTAACGTACTAGTTTCAATTCTCGGTGTATCCGAACAATAATAGTCAAATATTATTGTGTATATGTAGGTATCTGTATAGGTGATGTTGCTACCGTGAACAGGCGCACTTAGGAATTCTTTTAAAAATAGTAGTAGTCAAATACCTAAACGACGAATATTTTGATACCAATTTTAACAGTCAGATAATATCTACGTAGAATTAAAAATTTGTAGTTTGTTTAGTAGGTAACTTTTTCACTATGTATTTTTTATATATAATTAAGAAAACGTGTAATTTTTTCTTTTTTCTTAACCAGTTAGGAAAAAGTGAATAAAAATTCTTCTCTCGTAGATGGTTAAGTAAATGGACCACCACACCGAAATCAGAAGTAACAGATTTCTCAATAGATTTCAAAAATCATACTAAGTTTTTAAAGTGCGCCTATTCTCAAAAGGTATGCAACCGAGGGTGATCCAGTATGTTACTGTAGAGTTTTGTATGCAGTTAGCTTTAGTATTAGTTTAGTTCACAAAGAATGTAAATTAACACACTCACTGTTTATGTTTAATCTTTACAGCCCCCACCAAAAATATTTTATACTGTCACAAAATATAGTAGAAATATTGTTAAGTACAGTCAACAGGACAACAGGTTATTATAAATGTAATTTTATTATTATTTATGTGTTCGACATAAAAATCAAATCAGTGTCAAAATGTTAATACGTTGCAGTAACCTGATGCACAATTGACTTTATACAAATACAAAGAGACGTGTTATTTGTGAAACAGTGAATGTGTTGATGTTCTGAGATGAAAATTATCAACGAATGAAATGCTCAAGTATTTTAGGCAAACACTGCCATATTATCATGATGCTAAGACTTACCATGAGTTCATAATGCGATCCAAAAAACGCTGTTAAAACGAAATGCCGTTCTACACATTTTTAGTCCTGTCCTTCTTCAACCACCGCAAATGCATCGCGTTACGAATCCATGGTAAGGCTCGGCTCTCGCGAAACAAGAATAAAAGTGTATCAACATTCCACGAAAATTCAAATTGCAAATGTAAATATAATGTTACTAAAGTATGTTGTATATTTATGGTAGAATACAAAACGTTAATATTAATCGTTTGTAAAAACAAAACAATAGAACAAAATTACTGTGAATCAATTTAGTAAGTCATTATTTTTTTTATACATATCGTAATAATTTATTTACAATCGATTAATATTAGCTGTTCAGTGGTTAAGTTATAATGAAAATTCAAGTTTATTGTTGTATTATAAACGGGACTGTATCTTTTTTAACATTTTATACCTATGCATAATAGTAGTGCGTGGATGTATGTAACGTGTGTGTGCGAAAATGTATAGAGAATGATTTTGTTATTATTGACAATAAATAAATAAATATTACGTTATGTATAATATACTTTTGTATTAAAACATTTTAATAAGACTTGGTAATATAGTTATGACACAATTTTTAAATTACCGACATCTAGGTATATGTTGATTTAAACTGAATCGAATCGAAAAGTTTATTTTTAGTTAAAAACTGATCGTATTATCAAATACTCATTTACTCACTTTTAGAATCTCGCTAATCGATCTTATCATGAAATTTTCCATCACAATTTATTACCGTATTAATTATTACGTTAACAATAATATTTTATACAAAAATTTAATAAAATATTAATTTTAATTTGTCGTTATTTTATTTACCTACCATTATTTCAAAGCCATAGTTTTAAGTGTGATCATGAAAGTTAAGCAAATGGTCGGTCATTGGATGGGTGATAAAAAACTTATTATCTCCAGCTCCTCCGTGCTTAACAAGGCATGTTAAGCCATTGGTCCCGCCTGTGTCTGCAGCCCACCAATCTGCACTGGGCCCAAGTGGGTGGGTCACGGCCCAGGCTTTCTATTCCATCCATAGGTAAGGCGTGTGCCCCTGTAATGTGGACATTAATAATCCCATGATGATAATTTTCAGGTACTCACTTTTATTTCTTATTGAATTAGAAACGATAATTACCCAAATTATATTAACAAGAGTGCATTAAGTAGCAAAGTAGGAACATTTTACGGTATAGATTTTACACAGACTGTAATGCCTACCAACTACATACGACTACTATATACTGGGTGGGGATATTAACATACAGATAATAACACTGATGCAAAATTATCAAAGAGCGTTATTATGAGCAGAGTTAATACAAAAACAAAGTTGACGTACCTACATATCATAAATACACGAATGATAATACTCATCATTAAGAATTGATTAAAATTCACCTAGGTCGTTCTTAACAAAACCACTTGTAAGTACATTTTTTATTTGTAAGAAAATGTCACAAACAGGCAAGTAGTCCGCCGCCCCGGTAGTATATAGACCATAGTCTTAGATTAAAACAAAAAGGGAAGATACGGCACTCGCGGTTAAAAAGTGATCCGCTTAAATTGTGGTGCACAACCACAATTCGCTCTAGTCACAATTGGACATTCAAACACGCTGCATGTGCACTAGATTTAAAAATATTACGTATATTCTGTGTTATAAAGATAAAACAATGCCTTCGATGCTTTTATAAAGAACACAAATGCTTCGGCAACACCTTTCATTCGTAAAACTGTAGAAATATATTTTTCTCAAAAATCACGATTTGTCGTGAATGTTATCTACATAATCGCCATTTGTTATCAAGAAAAGGACAACATTACAGCTCAGCCCTCCGGACGCGGAAGCGGAGTCGCCGTTTCGCTCGCGCTGCGTTGAAGCGTACAGTTCTGTCTCGCTCGCTCGATTGAATGTATATGTTACCGGCCAAACCCGATTTCAGGACAATCTAGTTTTGCCTAGGCTAAACTGGTTCTTCCTATACGCGATAGGATTAACTAGTATAGCCTAGTCCAAACTAATTTATCCTAAGCGCGACAGGATAAACCAGTTTAGCCTAGGCCAAACTAGATGATCCTGATATAAATACGCACACTCTAGGATAAACTAGTACGACCTAGTCTAAACCAATTTAGCAAAGCGGAAAGTAATTGAACAAACATGTCAGGACTTGTACAGGGCGCGTCATGTAAAAAGAACGCTGGAAGAAAGTGGAGGGAGTGTTTTTTCTGTAATTGGTTTTTGTTTAACTCTTTATTGCCGGGAGTTCGGAAGACAGTAAAGCCGGGTACGCATTAGCGATCTGTTACCGTAACATGCGTGATACAGTACGAAGTTCTAGTGTGTACGCTAGTAGCTCAGTTGTGAACGTTGGCTCGCTTCAAACCGCACGCGTACCGTTCTCGCAGCAGGTTATCGAACCACGTACACACTAAGCTTTTTGGTTACAGTGCGTGCAACGGTTATGGTTACAGCTCGCCAATGAGTAACTACCCGGCTTAATAAATTCCGAATCATTCGAACCTTTTACAATTCATCTCACTGTAAACTCAAAATATTTTAAGAAAAGTTTACTAGAAAAAAAAACCACGCAGACCAGGCAGCGGACCGGACTCGAACCCGCACCCTTCGCAATCCGGGCGAATGCACTGACCATTATGCTACCACGGCCCTATTCGCCGCGTCGAAATTTTCCTAGCCTTAAGCTGCAAGGCAGCGCCATCTCTTCGCATTGTAGGTTGCATCCACGCAACCCACAATGTCAAATGTATTCATCGTATTTTTCAAGTATTAAACATTTGAAAGAAGAAATAGCAATTATAGTTAGTGTTTTTATTTATTTTTAAGCATTTAACTGCTAGGTGTTTAAATCTAAAGAAAAGTTTACTAGAAAAATTAAACTTTTCTTACTTTTCTTTGTATTACTAATTATCCATAACTTGTAACGATGAATCATTATGGTTTTAATAAAAAATATTATTTTTCCAATTACGGATTATTTTATTCAGTTTATCTATTTATTTTGACTTTCTAGATATACTATAATGTTTACACTAGGCCATACTAGTTTATCCTAGAGTATGCGTATTTTTATCAGGATCAACTAGTTTGACCTAGGCTAAACTGGTTTTGGGGTGCTACGTCGGAAACCTCCTCGTGTGCCCGGTCCATTTCTTGTCCCTTGGCAGTCATGCTAGGGGAACGGAAATGGACTCGGGACGGTGCACTCTGGGCGCCTGCGTAATGTCTCCCACTGAGGGTGCTGTTACGGAGGTGTCGGATATCCGACAAACTCGTAACCCCGTACATGGTGCGGGGCCGAGGGCCGCCAACTTCTCCGGAGGGCAGGGGGCCGCGAGGAAGAAAACCTCTCTAAAAAATTACCCAGGGGGGGGGCCACCAAGTGGCCCCGGAGGTGGGGGCAGTATTGCCTTGGAGGAGCTCGCAATCCCGCACGCAGTGTGGGGCCGAGGGCCGCCGCCTTTTTCGTAAGGTGGGGGCTGTGAGGAAGAAAACCTCTATAAAAAATTACCCTGAGGTGGGCTTGGCTGGCGTCCTGGGCAGCCTGGGTAGCGACAACCAAGCCAGCGGAGCGGGGCGGTTGTGATGCATAGTCTGCATTACATCCGGCCAACCCGTAGTCCTGCACGTGGTGTGGGAATGGGGGCCGTCACTCTATGAGGGAGGGCCATGAGGAAGGACACCTCTATAAAAACCCACTTTGTGTTTGTGTCGTGGGGCTGCCTCGCCCCAAAGAGGCAAAAAAAAACCCAATGGCAAGTCTAAAAACACGTAGAAATCCCCAGGTGGGTACCTGCGACAGCAGGGAGGCCCACCCGAGAGTCTCGACTCTCGGCTGCTCCGAGAATCCTGGGGGGAGCAAGAATTGCCTTTCGGCCAACTCACAGCGGCCGCATCTAAACTGTGAAAACCGTAGCTTAGGGGGTGGGGGGGATGAAGTAGTGGAAGAGCGTAGGTCTATAGAGGAGAATGGGGAGAAGTTTAGGGAGGGGGGTAAAGATAGAAAGGGGGATAAAGAGGTTGGAGAAAGGATAGTT